TTTTTTTTACATTTTGCTACACAGAGATCAGTTGCCTCATCTAGGAGGAGGACAACCATACGATTTGCAGAGATCAAACACAAGAGATATAGTGTTCCTCTTATGGTTGGTAATTTGCATTAAATACTTTGCTTTAACACATCAATGTTCCTCTATTTGCTTACTGGTTTTCACTTGTTTAGATAGGAATTGGCCTCCTTATATTTCAGCAACTAAGTGGTGTCAATGGCATTTTCTTCTATGCTGCAAGTATCTTCAAAGCTGCTGGTATGTTCTGCATAATTTGACGAGGCTCTGCTTATTAAGCATGCTTGTGTGTAATAGTTTTCCTCACACATTTAATAACTCTACAGAAATACTGTGAACGTGTAATTGAACTAAATGGTAAATTCAAATGTTAGTAAGCATGCTGCACATCCATAGCAGTTTGATTGGGATATTTGGATCACTTGTAAAATGTAATGCTGCCCTGTCTGTATGTGATTTGTACTCGCAGGAAGCTCATATCGCAGTACTAAGCCTTAATATATCAGCAATAGCAATAGCTTGTATGTCATGTCTGATATCTTACAAAGTTCTCTTCCTAAACAGGTCTTAAAAACAGTAATCTCGCAACATGTGGTTTGGGGGCTGTTCAGGTATATTCATCTTATCGTTACATCCACATTGTGCCTATGAACTTTGTGGGATTGTGGGTTTGGTATTTGCGTACTTATTGGGATCTTTTCATTGTTAGGTGGTTGCTACTGGAATCACAACCTGGTTGACTGACAAAGCTGGTCGACGGCTACTTCTCATTGTTAGTTACATCACAAGACAAGTTTTTTTAAGATGAAAATATGATTTGCGTTGATTAATTTCTTTTACTTTCCAGATCTCTGCTACAGGGATGACAATCAATCTTCTCGTTGTTTCTGTGTCACTTTTGTGAAGGTAACTCCACTTAAAATGTTAATGGCATATGTAATGGTTTGTTGTGCAATTGTCTAATCTAGATCAATCAGTACTACCTGAGTTTCCCTCTGATATATTTTAGTGTCAATTCTGAAACAGGACAACATAGACGAAGCTTCTCATTTACACTTTGTGATGAGTATGCTTTCATTGGCTGGACTTGTGGTTAGTTTCAGTTCTGTCTATATATGTCTCTGCTTTATTGGTCAGAGTGAGCAGGTTTAATGCCTTGCTTTCTGCTACTGCAGGCATTTGTGCTTGCATTTTCTCTGGGCATGGGAGCCATCCCATGGATTATAATGTCTGAGGTATAGTCTGATCCTCCTTACTGCAAATATCTAGAAGTTCAATAATTACACTTACATCTATCTGATTTTATCTCTGTAGTTGTTACCACTATCATTTGCCACTTCTGTTCTTGTCTGAATATCCTCTATAGCCTCTCTTTTTTTTATCAATGAGCCGTCCTCGAACATGCCTTTTTACCTATGAAATGGAGCGAAACGCTGCAGTTGCAGTCGCTCTTGTGGTTTTGTCGACCAGCTGCTGCTTCAAGACATACAGGAAACTGCATTTTTTGTAATGTAGCCTAGATTACACTGACCGTAGCTGTACCTGTCACTAAAGACTGCAACTACTGCTTTTAGCTTTAGCTGTACCATCACCAAAAACTGCAGTGGTTGCTTTGTGTTTCATATCTGTAGTTGCAAGTGACAGTGACAACTTACCTAGAGCAAACTTCACACTGAACATATCTAGAAATATAATAATGCGTCGTCCACATTGTGTCCCTACAGATTCTTCCTGTTAACATCAAGAGTCTTGCCGGAAGCACCGCCACCCTTGCAAACTGGATGACGTCGTGGCTCATCACGATGACCGCGAGCTTGATGCTAAACTGGAGCAACGGAGGTCAGTCTATTCCTCCCTCTCTGTCCCTCTACCTTCCTACCTCTTTTATGACACTGTGTCTTACCACGAACCATACGTCTTGTTTCAACCAGGAACCTTTGCTATATACGCGGCAGTGTCCATGGGCACCCTCCTCTTCGTGTGCCTGTGCGTGCCGGAGACCAAGGGGAGAACGCTCGAGGAGATTGCGTTCTCGTTCCGCTGAAGCCCGGAACCACGGCGCGTAGGGTAGACAGGCAGGCGGGCGCGCGTCGTGCTACTTGATGGCCGTTTCGGGTCAGGCCTCGGGCCTGGACCAGGTAGTCGCGCAGCAGTGTTTTTTGCAGGAGGGATATTTGTATCATGTGTTTGTGTAATAGTGTACTATCAGTGTACCATTTGTGTATGTGCAATAGAATGGGGAGGGGTGGAATGGGCACCCAACCCCCCCTTACAGTCAGTCAGTCAGTCGGTCAGGGGAGTGTGCAGTAAGTAGAAGAGCAATTTGGTGGTCAGTACATTGGGTTTCATATATACAGCAGCAGCTGTGGCCAAAGGAATAATTCAGATGTAATGTCCAAGAATAAATTTTGAGCTACTTTCAGTGTGCTGCATTATGGCTGTAGACTGTAGTGTGCATGGCAGTTCCCAGAAACTATTGCCTGAAAGTCTTGTTGAGGAGAAAAAAAGTGTTGTGCTGTCAGCTGTACATTTGGGCCGTCTCGTTGGGCTTAAGACACATATCTGCGCCCTTCTTCTTCAGCCAGCCCCCCACCGCCCCAGAAGTGATGGAGGCCCAGAGGAACCCGATGCTGGAGCGGCCCATCAATGAAGCCCACGTTACTGCAGCTCTGGGTCTGGATCCTTCTTCCCTCCTGGTATACTGTCACTCCTACTCCGGTACTCTACTGTACAGTACCAGACGACCGTTGCAGCTGTGCCCCCACCCACACACCCCGGTACTCTACTGTACAGTGCAGTACTCTGCGGTCTACGGTGTGTGTACTGTGGCCTACCCTACTACGAGCCCCCTCCATCCCAGACAGGAGACAGCGACGAGAATATGTTTTCCTCACCAAGGCACGCTTCAGATCCAGCACCAGTATACCACTAGAGATTATGCTCCCTCCATTTCTTTTAGTCTGTAAATACGAATAATTCTCAAGTCAAACTTCATATGTTTGACCATTCTTTTTTTTTACAAATAGTTTGAATTGCTCACACGTGGTATATGTTTGACCAACTTTATAGAAAAACACTAACACTCAGAATATAAAATCAATATCATTAGATGCATCACGGACTTAATTTTCACTATATAACTTTAGTACTCCTTCCGGTCCTTTTTACTCTGCGTATTAGATTAGTGTCCAGTCAAACTTTGTAAAATTTTACCAAATTTATATTAAAAATATCAACATCTACAATACCAAATATATATAGTTATATACTACTCTCTCCGTCCCAAAATAAATGTCTCAACTTTGTACCAGCTCTAGTACAAATTTGTACTAAGCTCAAGACACTTGTTTTGGAACGGAGGGAGTATGAAACAACATTTCATAATGAACCCAAAAATATTGTTTTGGCATTGTGAGTATTGCTACTTTTTTATAAGTTTGGTCAAAGTAGAGATACTTTGACTTCCCAATGCCAGGACCCGTGGTGGTATCCTCCTACTGCAGGATGATGAAGCGGTTCAACTCTCCATTGTGCTATTTGGGTCTTTTACCCTCTTGACCATTGTTTCCTTGCGTTCACAGAACCATAACACCACCTCCTTCAAGCTCACGACCATCTATGGTCTGACTAGAGGCAACCTCAAGGATGCTTTCTTCGTCGAGCTCGTCTCCGAAATACCACCACTGGGTTCCTTATCGCTGGTCACGGGAGACTTCAACCAAATTTACCGGGCAAGGGATAAGAACCGCACTAACGTTGATCAAAGCCGCATTGTCCAGTTTAGGAATGCGTTGAACACCTGTGAGCTAAAAGAGATTAATCTTCAAAACAGAAGATTCACTTGGAGCAATGGCCAGAGTGACCCCATCTTGAGCAAGCTGGATGGCTTCTTTCGCAACGAGGATGGGATCTGGAGTTTGGTTCTCACATTCTGCATGCACTCTCATCTTCCCTATGTGATCATTGTCCTCTTCTATTCACAAATGCAAATGGCCCTAAGCGTTCCAAGTGCTTCTACTTCGAGAACTTCTGTATTAAGATGCCCAGTTTTTTGGCAACCATCGAGGAGGCATGGAATGAAGATCACAACCATGTCGCGCCCTACCATGTTATTCACCATAGACTCAGGAAAACTAGCATCAAGTTAAAGGCTTTGAGCAAAACTCTTTTCTCCAATGTGAAAATTCAGTTGCATATGGCTCGGGAGATCATCCTCCGCCTTGATACCGCTCAAGAATCTCGATCCCTGAGCCCAGAGGAACTTGACCTTCGGAAGAGGCTTAAGCGGCGAGTAGTTGCCTTGGTTGTACTTGAGAAGGCTAGGAAGCGGCAGAACTCTAGGATCACTAACATCACAGAGGTGGATGCAAACACTAGATTCTTCTACGTGACAATTAACTGCCAGAGAAGGAAAAAAATGCCATTGTCTGAAGCACAATGCGGGTTGGGTGAATGATCATGATCACAAGAAGGCCATCATCCACAATCACTTCTACTTTGTCATCAATAAGGGTCCTCAACGACAAATGGATATTAATTGGAATTGTGTTCCCAACCCAGAATGTGATCTCACTGATCTTGGCACCCCTTTCACCATGGATGAAGCTAGGTGTGTTGTGTTTGATTCTCCAAATGACAAGGCACCAGGGCCAGATGGGTTCATGGGTGCGTTCTTCAGAGCATGATGGGATATTATGAAGGTGGATGTCATGGCCGCCATTGACCACTTCTCCAATCTCCATGCCTCAAACTTCCATTGGTTGAAGTCCGCCAACATAACGCTCATTCCTAGGAAAGATGTTAAGGAAATATGCCCTAGAGGCAATAATAAAGTTATTAATTATTTCCTTATATCATGATAAATGTTTATTATTCATGCTAGAATTATATTAACCGGAAACGTAATACATGTGTGAATACATAGACAAACAGAGTGTCACTAGTATGCCTCTACTTGACTAGCTCGTTGATCAAAGATGGTTATGTTTCCTAACCATAGACATGAGTTGTCATTTGATTAACGGGTTCATATCATTAGGAGAATGATGTGATTGACTTGAACCATTCCGTTAGCATAGCACTTGATCG